TGAAATTGATTTCTTGATTTTGATTGAAATAATATGCTTCTGTGTTTTTGTTTGTGAGATTTGAAGAATGGTGCCAATGAAAATGAATTGAAGAACATTTTTCCTTTTATTTGATATTTAGTGGAGATGAACAACTATGTTTTTTATTTTTAATTTTAAATGTCATGGTATTTTAATTTGGGTCATGGGTGGGTAAGTTATGAAAAATGGGTGGGTTCTCAATTTTTTGGATAAATACAAAAATAAAATAAGGTAAATTATTTAGATGATGTCATGTGTCAATATGTTAGTCTTAAAGGTATAGATGATCCAAAATATTGACGATAAAGATATATACAACCTTAAAGTATAACGAAGGATATTAACATACCATTTATGATAGTTCGAGGCTATATTTATCCATTTTCCCTAAAAAATATGACTGACTGGTTCAAAATTTTGTTTATTCATACGAGGCGAAAAAATAAAAATAAATGAAGTAAAGGAGTAATGAACACAAGACCTCAAGTTCACAATTGAGGCATCAAACCAGCTAGGCTGGAACATCTCCTATGACAAGTAGTGTCACTTTATTAACTTTTATCGTTTATTTATTTATATATGTATTTAATATTTTTTTTATTATATATATGTATTTAATAATTTTTTCTAACGAAGCTGTGTCACGTGACACCCCTTACTATAACATAAATCCGCCCCTGGGGAGCGAGCACCATGTTTCAACTCTGTTTTAGTTCAGTGGGTAATGAACCAAGTGATGTACTTATTTGGACAAATCAATTGACGTGGGCAACTTGAATATAAATTACATCAAAGTTAAATGTTCTTAAACAACAAGTGATTTATGATCTGTTGTTCACTATAAACAGGAAATTAAGGTTTAAAGGTTGAGTTTTTTAAAAAAATTAATTATGTCTCAGTTTATTTGATTCTCTTATTACCCCACCCCCTCAAAAAAAAATTAAAAAGAGAAGAAAACATGGATAGCAAAATCCGTGCACTATCCTTTAATTATAATACCAGTAGTAACTCTGTGGTCTCTTTTGCAAATGGATTTTGCATGTAGTTAAAAGAGTGTATAATCGTAAGATGTTTAATTTATAGTAAAATTACGGCTTTTTCGTCGATTCTACTCTCAATATCTCTTTATTTAGTTACTACTCCTAGTTTAGTTACTGGGTGTACTCAGTTTTGATTGATTCAGATTTTCAAATATCAAATTAAATTAAAATTGTCGAGTTTTTATATTTATATCAGTAATGGTCGGATTTTTATATTTATATTAATAATTATTAATAATAATGGTCAGAGTTTTTAACAAAGAAAACCCGCAGCTACTACCCTTTTGAGTGCGCACAGGTAAAATCCCCTCTCCTATGCCAGAACTTGCAAATCACATAGGAGACGTAATATGCACTAGGCAAGCCTGGTGCGACAAAGTCATATGGCCTAGAGATATAAGGTCAAATGATGGAAGTCATTTAAACTTGCACCAAGTGAAAAAATTCCCCTTTAAGGGTGTGTTTGGTATTGGAAAACAAGTAGATTTTTGACTTATTTTCTCATGTTTGGTTGGTGAGGAGAAAATATTTTCCGGAAAAGATTTTTAGTGTTTGGTTTTTGAATGAAAAATATTTTTGAGAAACATCTTTTATTTTTACTAGAGTAGAAAATATTTTTTGAAATTGAAAATATTTTTTGAAAACAAACTTAATTTTTTTTTGGGGTGGGTGGGGGTG